GCTTCTGCTTGCTCATCTGCACGAGATTTCGAAGTAGACATTGGAGCCTTGACTCTGGTCGGCATTGCCCCACTGGCCCAATCCAAGACATGCCTGTCTGGTTTGACCTGTGAGATCACCAGTCTTACAGGGCAGGACCTGAGTGGGACAGATGAGTACTTGATACTGGAGACCTGTGGAGTCGCGTCAGGCCCAGCTCTCGCCTACACTGAAACCCTTGAGACCTTTGTGGCCCCTGCCGGCCGAGCAGTTTCAGCAAGATGGGTCAGTTCTCCGCTGCAGCTGGCAGGCGGCGACTACAGGTTGTGCTGGTGTCCCGGCGAACACTTCTCCTGCGACACTGCAGACAGTTTTCGCGTAGACGCTGGTACGCTCACCGTCCTTGGGGTCGCCCCAATTGCACAGCACCGGACGTGTCTGAGCGGGCGTACGTGCTTCCTGCAGGAGATTGCAGGTTATGGTCTAAATGCGGGGGACGTCTTGTTTGCCGTTGAAACCTGTGGACAGGCGAGTGCTCTGGCCCGCTTCCCTTACGCTGGAATGTCAGAGTTGCAACGCACCAACGCAGGAACGACTTTCAGCTCGCTGGAACGCATCACTTCCGCAGGTGGTGTCTTTCGCCTTTGCTGGTGCCACAGTATGCCAGATCAAGCTCTCCTTCCACAATGTGTGGGATCAGCTGATGCCAAGGTTGATGCTGGAAGTTTGTATCTTATCGGTGCCAACCCATTGTCTCAGGACCGCACCTGTGTCAGCGGCCTGACGTGCAGAATAGCTGGAATTGAAGGTCGGGGCTTCCAGGAGGCTGACCGGTTGTTTGTCATGGACACGTGCAGTGTTTCCTCAGCAGCTGTTTCCGGCTTCGCAAATGGGGCATCCAGTTTCCTGGAGCACAACGGCACTGCCTTCAGCTGGGGAAGCACGCGAGTCACAGCTGCTGGCGGGATTTACGAGCTCTGCTGGTGCGGGGCCACGGACGGGGAAGGCTGCGACAGTGCTCAGAATGGTGTGGTCACGCTTGGGTCCTTGACCCTTGTTGGGGTGAACCCGCTGTCGCAGGACCGAACATGCGTCAGCGGCCAAACTTGCAGCATTTCAGGGCTGGGTGGTCAAGATCTGCCGAGTGCCGGAAGTGCGCTCCTGGTTCTGGAGACATGTGGCTTGCCCTCATTGCCGCCCGGATTTGGTGCGGATGTATGGCCGCTGGCCAGTGGGTTGGGCGGGAGACAAAGCTTCCAGAGCACAGCTCCCCTGACAGCGGCGGGGGGTGTCTATCGGCTCTGCTGGTGTCCAGGCATCCTTGTCTGCAAGGATCCTGCAGACTTCAACATCGATGCCGGGTCCTTGATGCTGATTGGCCCCGACCTCCTGCACCAAGATGCCACGTGTGTCCATGCCTCAGTCGTGCACTTTCTCCAGCGAGCATCCGATGACCAGCCTTGCGCTCTCAGGTCAGTGGCCAGCCTTGCAAAGTTCTGGCTCAGGGACTTGCCCCGACAGACCAGCTGATGGTCATGCAGACCTGTGGCGGCACCGTCATGGACGTTCGAGAGGCATTGCAGGCAAGGGGGGGGGAGATGTGGGGAGAGGAGAGATGCAGAGAGGTAGAGACTGTCAGTTTTGTGCTGTTTGCAGAAAGTTGACTCAGCTGTGCTGTGGTTTCGAACGTAACTCAGACAGGCTGACAGTGTAAGCAGGTTCACAGATGTGGGCACATCGAGGGAAACCTGCTCAGGTTGATGCCTCTGCTTTCCATCCACGCTGGGAGCTGTCCGAATTTCTTGCAGGAGGCAGGTATCGGCTTTGCTGGTGTGCTGCTGGCTTCAGTTGTGGAGTTGAGGATTTCCGAGTTGATATTGGTTCTCTGGATTTGTTGGGTCCCGCACCCCTGTACCAGCACCGGACATGCACCACGGGGCAGTTGTGCTCCTTTCAATCACTGATCGGATACCACGTTGAAGCGTCAGACTTGACAGCTGTCCTGTCGACTTGCGGCGATCCATCCGTGCCGATCCGGCTGCCGAGCAGTGGTCGTCTGCAAACTACCCTGGCTGGGCAGGATTCTTGGGACAGCCCAGTGATTTCGGCAAGTGGAGGACGGTATCGTCTGTGCTGGTGTGCAGCCAGTTCATTTTCTTGTAGCAGGCTTGAGCACTATGTCCTCGACGCAGGGGAGCTCTTCTTGATCGGACCAAGTCCTCTGGAGCAGCATCGCACGTGTGTGACTGGGCAAGGGTGTGCATTGCACGACATCGCCAACATCGAGTTCCTTCCGTTCGACACGTCGTCCATCATGATTCTGGACACCTGTGGCGTAGCTCACTGGCCACAAGAATCAATTCCCTCGGAACGGTTTGCTGTCGTGAGTGCCAGCGGAACGCAGATGAATTGGGACGCCAATCTGGTCATGCCAGCGGGACAATACCGTATGTGCTGGTGTTCCAGTCCAGGCCACAGCTGTAGTGTCATGGAAAGCTTTAAGGTGGACATGGGAGAGCTGATGATGTTAGGGCCAGGGCCACTCGAGCAATCGGCGACTTGCATCTCGGGACATGTCTGCAGCCTGACCATGTCAGGGCTGGGGCTCAGCGTTCGGGATCAGGTCATTGTCCTTGCCACGTGCTCCAACTCTGATCCTGTGCCTGGCTTCCTTGACGGTGGACTTGCTGCCCGCATCCAGAGCGGGGGCAGCAACACAAGAGGGGATGCAGGCGTGTGGGCTTACGTGAATTGGGGACAACCTCAATCCGGAGTGCGCATCAGTCCCGCCCTCAAAACTGGCATGGGAGTAACATAAAGTAGGAGAGAATATCAGTTGCTGCGTGTTCGTGCTTTCTGATTGGGTTTGCTCAGGTTCCCTTGGCGGCCTCTACAGGCTGTGCTGGTGTCCTGACGATTTGGACTCCGCGCGCTGTGCCGAGACGTCTGCGCGTAGATTAGACTTTGGGTCTCTGACCGTGATTGGGCCGGAGCTCTCAAGGGAGACGGGGGACACGATCGGGCGCACATGTGTCAGCGGTCAGACGTGTGAGATTGACGGTATCTATGGCACCCATTTGCAGTCTGCAGACCGAATTATGATGATGGAAACGTGTGGATTTCCGCGGAGCTACCACCAAGGTTGGGATGGCTTAGGCAAGTTGACGGTGGCTCCGGCGCTTCAGGGAGGAGTTGCAACTGTGTCTTTTCCAGCATTCCGCGGGCCCGGGGGTGAGTATCGTCTGTGCTGGTGTGGTTCTCCGGGAGCTTGCCACACGCACTCGGATTTCAAGGTTGATTTCGCTGCGCTGCGCATCATGGGCCCGACGCCTCTAGCCCAAGACAGGACGTGTATAGCTGGAACTACGTGTCTCATGGAAAGCTTTGTCGGAGTGGACCTTTCCGCAGATGATGACGTGTGGGTGCTGGAGACTTGTGCCCAGCTTGGTGAACGGGAGTCTCTGGTAGATATAGCTGGTCTGCAGCGCAGCAACTCACTCATCTTGCTTGCTGGCGGCCAGTACCGCCTATGCTGGTGTCACAGCTCATTTGGTTGCTCCTTGCCTTCTGATTTCCGTGTGGACATGGGAAGACTGGACGTGGCTGGCCCGGCTCCACTCCAGGACCGGACTTGCGTCAGCGGCCGGATTTGTAACATCGATGGTCTGGCAGGCCATCTAAGTATTGCAGGGTACGTGCAGGTTCTCGACTCCTGCGGTAGCTTCCATCCCGGAGAGGCTTTGGGAGAGCCTTTGCAGGTATCCGACACGTTGTCGCTCACATGGCTCGCTCCACTCACTTTCGCTGGAGGTGAATACAGGCTCTGTTGGTGCCCCGACACGCAGCAATCAGCCACTAATCGAAGCTCCATCTGTACTGTCCCGCAAGATTTCAGCATCGACTTCGGGAGATTCACGCTGCTGGGGCCAGGTCCATTGCAGCAAGACAGGACATGCATCAGTGGTGAGACCTGTCGCATATCTGGACTGCTGGGTAAGCTTTCTGATGCGGACAGGATCGTAGTGATGGAGACGTGTGCTGAAAGCGTTGGTCGAACATCCCCCGATCTTCTGTACAGCGCGCTGACCGTATCGAGTGGGGCAACAGCCATGGCCGACATGATGCTCACTTACGCAGGGGGGGAATACCGACTATGCTGGTGTGTCGAGCACGGGGCGGGTTCATGTGACACCATTGCTGACTTCACCACTGATTTCGGAGGGCTCCAGCTCCTGGGGCCCCGACCACTTTTACAGCATCGCACCTGCGTGAGCGGCTCCAGATGCAGCCTTCGTGGCTTTGAAGGTATCGGACTGTCAGTCGGAGATCAGCTGCTCGTGGTGGATACATGCGTCGTTGGCGAGGTTCTGCCGCAATTCGCAGCAGGCATAGTGCAACAGGTAACCGCCTCGGGAGCCCAGATGTCATGGGGTCCGGCAGCTATCACTTCAAGAGGTGGAGTGTACCGCTTGTGCTGGAAAGCAGGTTCTCCCAGAGTTGCAAACCTTTCTGCTCTCAATGCCGCGTGGCCACCAGGAATCGTGGCTTCAGACTTCCATGTGGATATTGGAAGTTTGACAATAATCGGAGTTAGCCTTCTCGAGCAAGACCGCACATGTGTGAGCGGTCGGACTTGCCAAATTGATGGTATTCGAGGACAAGATCTTTCAGAGTCGGACCGGGTCCTGGTGCTTGACACGTGTTCAGCAGGAACCTTGGCACCTGGATGGCCAGAAGCCGGCTACGCTGTGGAAGTGTCGGCGAGTGGAGCAATTGTTTCATGGGGTGCAGAGATGGTTTCTGGCTCAGGTGGCTGGTATCGCATGTGTTGGTGCTCTGGCTCTGCGCAGGAGAACCGAACTTCGTGGAGTGATTCGGCTTGTGGCCACAGCTCAGGAGGTACCATTGGCTTAGTAGACATGGGAAGAATGCTTCTCATTGGGTCAAGCCCTTTGCAGCAGCATCGTACATGCGTCTCCGGACGAGCATGCGCAGTAGATGGACTTGTGGGTTTCAGTTTGTCTGCATCCAACCAGTATTTGGTGACTGACACATGTGGCCAAGCTGGTGCCATAAACCGTTTTCCGGGCTTTGGTGCAGCGACAACGACCCTTGCAAGTGGCTCCTCTGTTTCTTGGGGCCCGGAACTGATCACCGCATCCGGGGGCATCTACCGGCTGTGCTGGTGCGAGGACGTGTCAGGAAGTGGAGATTGCTTTTTCGCTGGCCAGTTTGAAGTCGATGTTGGGGAAATGCAGCTTCTGGGACCCGCCCCTCTGGACCAGAGGGGAACTTGCGTGAGTGGACACACATGTGTTCTGACTGGCATAGAAGGGCTTCACTTACAGACAGGTGACAGTGCCTTGATTCTGGATACATGTTCGCATTCTGTGCAGCCTCCACGCATGCCAGACCCTGGCTACTTGAGTTACGAGGCTATGGCTCAGAACTTCTCAACATGGAGGAGGGTGCTCAGCTGGAGCAGAATTTCATCTGCTGGCTCCGAGTACCGACTGTGTTGGTGTTCGAAGCAAGGTCCTGAAACCTGCACGGAGTCGGTCGACTTTGGCAGCCTGCGGCTCGTCGGGCCTGCTCCGCTGTCTCAGCACCGTACCTGTGTCGCCGGTCAGACCTGCGCACTTGGCCGCATAACCGGCGCAGATTTATCATTGACTGATGATCGCCTGCTGGTTATGGAGACCTGCGGCACATACAGCAGCTTGCGTGGCTTTCCCGATGGTGGCGAGGCCCACCTGTTTGGAGCAGATGTGGCATTCAATGGCTCTGCAGAGATCCAGGTCGAAGCTTTGGAAGTGAAGTGGACGTCGCCAGTCTCGAGCGCTGGAGGTCAGTATCGACTGTGCTGGTGTTCCAGTCTTTCCGATGAGAGCTGTGTGAATTTACCAAGCACGCAGACGGACATAGGTGAACTGACTCTGATTGGCTTCTCACCACTGGCACAGGACAGAACGTGTGTGAGCGGCCAGACGTGCAAGTTCCTGGATATGGAAGGTCTGCATCTTCCCAACAACAGCCGGCTTCTTGTCCTTGAGACTTGCGGGAAGCCGGCACTAGTGGAGTCCTTTCCAACAGCGGCACTTCTATTGAATTCCACGACGTATGACCTGGAAGTTCATTTCGACAGGGTGCTTACGGCAGCGGGCGGCGACTATCGGATGTGCTGGTGTGCGGGTGCACCATTTCAGTGCGCATCTGCAGACAATTTCGGAGTCGACGTGGGGCGGCTGCATGTTGTTGGTGTAAGTCCAATGCTTCAAAGTCGGACATGTGTCAGTGGGCAGACCTGTGAATTTGGGAACATTATGGGCACGTCCCTGGACATTGACGATCTGCTGGCTGTTCTGGACACTTGTGGCATCCAGGGTATGCTTCCCAGATTTCCAACATCTGCGCAGGTCAGTCTGTTACATGGTGAGTCGGCTACCTTCTCCTTCGGCATCAGTCCAGTCACTGCTGCTGGAGGCACCTACCAGCTGTGCTGGTGTGCGGCGAAGCACCAAGCCTGTGGAACTGCGGACAGCTTCCGGGTGCAAGTGGGTGAATTGCTGCTGTTGGGCCCACATCCTCTGTCACAGTTCCGGACCTGCGTAAGCGGGCAGAGCTGTCTGGTGGATCCTGTCATTGGTTCCTTCGTTTCCAGCTTTCGCCTCAGATTGGTAGGATTTTACCGGCTCGTCTAGGCCTTAAGCAAAGGGCTCCTCACAGAGTGTTCATGATAGTCAGATCGTCTGCAGTCCTGGCTGAGGCAATGATGTTGTGTTGGTGCTGGACACCTGCGGCTACAGTCAAAGTTCGGAGGACGACCGCCTGCTGCTCCAGACCCGGACCGGCAACAGATCAACAACGCTCTGGGGCGATGGGACACCAGTAGTCATGACTGGCGGACAATATCGTTTGTGCTGGTGTGCGGTTCTTTCAAGAGAAGCGCAGGACACCAATGTTTCCAATTCGAGCTCAAGACCTGAGTGTGCTGCCGCTTCGCAATTCGTGGTGGATACTGGTGAGCTCGTGGTCGTCGGAGTTGCACCAATGCGTGTGCAGCACCGCACGTGCGTGGCTGGACTTCCATGCTCTGTGGCTGGCATTACAGGGTTGCATTTGTCCAGTGAGGATCGCGTGCTGGTGATGGAGACATGCGGAGCAGCCCAAGTGGACGGCTTCCCCGACTTCCAGGAAGTCACGACCACCGAGGGCTGGCTCGCGGTAAGCTGGGGTACGGCAGCCATCAGTGCACCAGCTGGGCAATATCGACTCTGCTGGTGCTCTGGTTTAGAGATGTGGCCCCTGGCAAATGCATCATCCGTCTCATGCAGCCTGCCTGCATCCTTTCGAGTCGATATTGGCGAGCTCATGCTGACTGGTCCGGGCCCATTGGCACAGGATCGGACCTGCATCAGCGGACGGACGTGTGCCTTCGACGGCATCTCCGGCATTGGCTTTCTCGGAAGCGAACGGTACCTGGTCCTGGACACTTGTGCGATCGACACTTACGTGCATGGCTTCCCGACAGCGGGATTTGCAGAGAACTGGACCACAGATGGCCGGGTTGAATGGGGCGATGAGATAGTGACTGCGAGTGGTGGCAGCTACCGGCTGTGTGCATGTATGAAGGGCACAGCAGACTGCAACTTTGCACAAGAGTATGTCTTGGACGTCGGCGAGCTACTCTTAATTGGACCCGAACTGTTTCAAGATCGGACTTGCATTTCTGGCCAGGCATGCGAGCTGTTTGCCATTTACGGACATTCCTTATCAGCAGAGGATTCCGTGGCAGTGCTTGATACATGTGGGACCCATGCTCTGCCCGAACGGTTTCCGGTGGATGCCCTGGTCGCTGTCCAGCCAGCTGACAGCTTGCTGTCCGTGAACTGGCAGGGCGTGCAAGTGACGAGCCTGGGAGGCCAGTACCGCTTGTGTTGGTGCAGCGGCTTGCAGAACTCCTCGAGGCCTGTGGAGGCTCAGGCGGCTCAGGGCCCATGCCAGAGCTTGGAGGCCTTCCGAACGGATTTCGGCCAACTCTCCATCATTGGACCATCGCCATCTCTGCAGGATCGAACCTGTGTGTCGGGTCAGTCTTGCATTTTCGATGCGCCTGCCGGTATGTACTTGTCATCAACGGATGCTTTCCGTGTGTTGGCTACCTGTGGCATCGAAGACTTCACGCCCGGATTGCCTGAATCACACCTGCAAATGGTTCTTGAAAGGGGAGCCAGGTCCCTGACTTGGGGCGCTGAGCCTGTGACGGCCTACGGTGGACAATATCGGATCTGTTGGTGTTCAGACAGGTATCCATGCAGCAGCGCCGAGCAGTTTGGCCTCGATGTCGGCGAGTTCCTCTTGATAGGCCCAAGACCACTCGTGCAGCAGCGAACGTGTGAAGCCCTTCCCTGCACGGTGAGTGGGTTCAGCGGCCTCCACCTCACCTCCATGGACTCGGTAGCGATTCTCGACACGTGCAGAGAGCCAACCACAAGCCAGGATGCATCTCTTGGGTTCTTGGCAATGGCACTAAGTGTGGGAGCATCTGGCAGAGGCTCTGCTCCGCTTGAAGGAAGTGTCAGAATCCACCAGCAAGTTGGGGGCGGAACATACCGTCTGTGCTGGTGTGCAGGTTCCTATGCCTGCTCCTTATTCGAAGACTTTCGGGTGGATGTCGGCAGTGTGTCCTTCGTTGGTCTAGGTGCTGAGCAGCACAGAACATGTGTCAGTGGCCAGACATGTTCCTGGTCGGGCGTGGATTTCTGGCTAGAGTCAGCAACTGATGGCCGGCTGGTTGTGCTGGACACGTGTGGCACGGGTGCAGGCCGTGCACCGCTTCCAAATGGTGCTGTGGTGCCGGAGTGGGGCTTTGAGTCCACCTTTGATGCATGGGCAGGTGCAGAGCGTGTGACGATGTGGGCCTCATGGGGCAGTCAAAGGTTGTCTGGAGCGGGTGGGCAGTACCGAGCATGCTGGTGTGACTGGGATTGCCCGGATGGCGACGGGAGGCTGTTCATGGACGTGGCTTCCATCAGCATTGTGGGTCCAGACCCGCTCTGGCAGCACAGGACCGTCCAGGTTTCGGGGTGTCGTTGGGCCAGTCGCGTTGTCCTTGTGAGGCTCGGAGCTTGCGATGTTTGCAGGACCTGCGTTCAAGGCCAGCCCTGCCTCCCAAGCATTTCTGGCCGCGACCTTTCGGACGACGATCGCAACTTGGCAGTTCAAAGGGGTCGTTTTGACAGACATGCTGAGCTGCTGAGCCCTACCTCAGAGCCACTCGTGACCGGGTGCTCATGCATTAATCGGAATGGAGTGTCGTGTTGTCCAGTGAGGATACATGGTTTTGGACACCTGTGGAGATCAGTCCAAGTTGTCCACCTCAAGCATGACCGGGAAGCTGCTGTCGCAGAACGAGGATGCCCTCACTGTGGGTGGTGGAGAATACCGCCTGTGCTGGTGTGCTGCCGGCTTTCCGTGTCTTGGGGCTTCTGACTTCGTGGTTGATGTTGGCACCTTGACTGTTATCGGCATCAGCTGCGAAGAGTCACAGTGCCACCCTGATCGCACATGCGTGAGTGGCCAGCCCTGTACGATCGATGGCATTGCCGGACTTCATTTGGCAACTGATGACAGACTAGCCGTACTCGATACCTGCGGTGACCAGATGCCGCCACACTTGTTGGGCCACTTGGCCGATGCTCCTTACAATATCCGTTCAGTGACATGGGATACCGATTACCTGATTGCATCTGGTGGTATCTACCAGCTCTGCTGGTGTGCTGGCACATTTGGATGCTCGCTTACCGAGGAGTTTCGGGTTGAAGCAGGTGCCCTAACAGTCATCGGCCCTGCCCCCATGGAGCAGCACCGGACATGTGTGAGTGGCCAGAACTGCGTGATTGAAGGCTTCGATGTTCTCTTTCCGACGACTTCAGACTCCCTGATCGTGCTGCAGACGTGCGGCGAGGCCCTATCTGAGGAGGAGCCTTCCATGAGCCATGTCGTTGCTACGCTGGGGGCCAGTGGGTCCAGGGTCGACTTCGGTGACGCTTTCTCCACGGCCTCGGGTGGCGAGTATCGGCTGTGCTGGTGCTCGGGCAACTTCGGTTGCAATCTGCCAAGTGACTTTCGAGTGCAGCTCGGGCTGCTGAAGATCGTTGGCCTGGCACCGCTCAACCAAGACAGGACGTGCATTAGTGGTCAGACCTGTGTAGTTCATGGACTCACAGGCGAGGGCCTGTCTACGTCTGCTCGAGTCATGGTGCTGAATTCTTGCGGGACAGCAGATCTGGTCTCCGGTCTGGTCCTCAACGGGGTTGCCGAATCGGTGGAAGACCAGGGCACAACAATGACTTGGGGCAGCGCGGCATTTACAGCTCCTGGAGGTAAGTACAGGCTGTGCTGGTGCCAAGAACATACGAACAGCAGTGACTGGACAGACCGATGCCGGACGCCCATCAGTTTTGCGCAAGACGCAGGTGTCATGACGATTGTGGGCATTGCACCACTGCACCAAGACTACACATGCAATGTCGGCAGCATCTGTTCTTTGCGAGGCATTTCTGGTGAAGGCCTGCTGGCAGAAGACAGCCTGCTGGTCTTGGACACATGTGCACGTGGAACTCCTCCCGCAGGATTTCCAATCGCTCTCGATAACACCAGCATTCCCACGAGACGAATGACCGGAACAAAATTCAACATCCAGTGGGATTCAGCAGCTGTCACTGCGGGAGGTGGCGTGTATCGACTCTGCTGGTGCTCTTACTTCGCGCAGTGCAGCACCGCTGAATCATTCCGAGTTGACATGGGCGCACTGACGTTGGCCGGACCAAGCCCAATACAGCAGACCCACACGTGCGTCTCCGGTCGCAGCTGTGTTCTGCCGCAGGTCTCTGTGGTTCCTTCGGACTTGGACCCTGGCGAGGTGGCAGTTCTCACCTCTTGCAGTTACTTTACCTCCTGGGCTCCACCTGGCTTTGCAGACCGGGGACAGATGTTGAGCGCCCCGACCCTTCCAATGACTGCACCCGGTGGTCATTACACTCTGTGCTGGAACCCGGCGCGAAACAATGCCAATCGAACCGTAGATGCTGACATCGGGGAGTTCCAAACACGGCCGGAGCCTCAATGAGCGTACTTGCTCGATGCCGATGTGCAGGAGTTAGTGTAGCTTTGTGCGTGCTGAGATCTGTGGCGGTTACCAAGGCTTGGCACCCTTGTCGTGCTGGGGCCCACTCCGCTGACACAGGACCGCACCTGTGTCAGCGGACATCCGTGCTCCTTGGCAGGTCTGCAAGGGGAAGGCCTGACTCTGTCGGATGAAATCCGCATCATGGACACCTGTGGCTTTGACAGGGTCATTCCGCGTTCCCCAAGATCTGGTCACTTCACAATGGTCTCAAGAAGTGGTGCCGCCGTCACTTGGGGCGCACAGGAAATCACAGCCGCCGGGGGAATTTACAGATTGTGCTGGTGGTCCGGTTTCCCAAGCACTGAAGTAAATTCCACGGTGGTGTCGGATGCTGACACTCCGGGTGAAGAGTTTGTCGTGGATCTGGGCAAGCTGGAAATTATCGGACCAGCACCCCTGCAGCAGCACAGAACCTGTGTGAGTGGACAGACTTGTCACCTGGTCGAAGTGGAGGGTTTGGGCCTTGCAAGCCTCAACAAGTGGATGGTCCTCGACACTTGTGGTACTGGACCCCAGACTCGGGGCATAGGTCCTGATTTGGTTGCTGCCAGTGGCTTGCAGTGGATATGGAAAGATCCATTCAGCGCTGCTGGAGGCGAGTATCGCCTGTGCTGGTGTGCCAGTTTGCCACAGTCAGGCAATTTCTTGACGGAGTCCAACCAGAGCAACGTGACGAATCTGACCTCGACACAGGATGGTATGGCTAGCAATCGGACGGATGCTTTGGATTGCCTTCTACCTCAAGAATTCTCTGTTGATGTGGGCAAGTTTTCGGTGATTGGAGTTGCTCCTTTGGAGCAGCATCGAACCTGCGTCAGCGGACAGAGCTGCCGCTTCTCGGGCATCTCGCTCATGAATACACCGGATGCTCCAGGAAGCTTCATGGTGCCTTACACAGCAGAAAGGGGTTCGCCATGCGTTTCAATGCGTACTGTCGGGCTCCTCCTGTTCTCATTCGGGGCCCTGGTATGTGTCCGGACAAGTTTCCACCAAGGTGCTCGATTCCTGTGGCGCCTCGCGCCCAGCTTTTTCCGTCGGGATCTTGATGCGGCCAGCACAGGAGGTGCGTCTACGTCACAGACGATTCTAAACATAGTCGCAGCTGACAGAAGACGCTCCTTGCGCAGGTGCTTGCGGAACCTTCGCCAAATGCCACACAGCGCTGGCGCCCAGTGAGTTGAAAAGCAGAGATCTCTGAGAAGTATTCAAGCTCTTGTGCGCGCGACAAGACCGTTCCCTGCCTGGCATCGTCATTCGCGTTTGTGTTTCGCGGCTCCGCAGCAAGGCCCGATGGATTCAACTTCGGATCATCTGCATCCGTCTCATGGGGCGACTTTGCTGACAGCAGTCTTGCCCGGATTATGACCTGTGCGAGTCTCCGACCTCCGCGCGCACGGTCAGGAGCCTTACCGGTCACTGCCGGTGGCGGGCAATACAGGCGCGGTCATACTGACGAGCAAAATAGTGGCCCCGCCCTCGGAATCCTGCAGGTTGTGCTGGTGCGCGTCCCCAGCCTTCTCCTGCAGCTTGACAGAGGCCATGGGCGCGTGCAAACGTAGGCACTTGCCCCATGCACGGCTTCTGGAGGATTTTCGGTTGGACGCGGGAACCTTCACCTTGATCGGAATGAGCCCATTCAATCAGGACACTTGGAACCGAAGTTGTGAGTTGACAGAGGTTCGTGATCACAGTTTCTGACAGGACCGAACGTGTGTGGCCGGGGAGGCCATGATCAAACCAATGCAGGGGTACGAATTGTAGCACACCCGAGCTTGACGACTGTTGCACGATGTTAAAGTCGAGTGTGCAAGTTGGCCACTGCGCGGCCAAAGCTTGCTTCGCCCCTGCAACTGTTCAGAGAGTTCTGGGATTTACGACGGTTTCGCCGAGTTCGACAAATTCCCAGTCCAACGAATCATGTCAGAGGGCGATTTGCAGGTGTGCTTCACTGAGGGCTTCTCGGGCCAGCATCTATCTGTCAACGACAGGCTGGGTTACGGTCCGTGTGCCGGGGTAGTGTCAGGGTTGGGGACTCCTCAAGTGTCTTTGAAGCAGGGCAGTCCCAAGTCGCGGGCTGTCCTGGCAAGTCTCGGCCACCATGTCATGACAGTTGACCTTGGGTCTAGTGGCATTCTGCTGGCAGTCTCCTCGTTGTCGACACCTGTGGCAGCCCAGAGCTGGAAGCTAAGCCAAGAGATCAAGACATGGTATCACTCGTGCGCCTTGGCGGTCTCAGTCTCAGGTCAAGTTGGATTGAGAAGGGCATGCCCGTGAACCGTCAGGATTCCAGCGTACTGGTCTCGCCAGGTTGGCACAGAACTGGTGTTCTACATTGAAGCAAGCCACTGAAGCACACAGGTTGGTCCTTCGAGCGCACGACGGTCCCAGGAAGAGTATATAGGCCACATGCTCTAAAGCAGCAGCTTGAGACGTAAATTACTTGACCTGCGAGGCTGTGCTGGTGTGGCGATTTGCAGCCATGCAGCACATCAGAGCAGTTCAGGCGAGACATGTGGAATCTTTTCGCGGTTTCGCGGACGACGAGTGCAGCCTCCTCTGTGAGGTTCGACGTTGGTGGCCTCTTTTTGCTTGGCCCAGCACCTCTGGAGCAGCACAGGACGCAACGTGAAGCCCCGATTCTTTCCGACATGCACGAAGTCTGCATGGTTTGCCCATCTGCACCTGCAGTGGCCTGCAGGACCTGCATAAGTGGCCAATCATGTCCTATGAGCGATTTGCAAGGCTTCGCTATGCCCTTGGAGAGCCAGGCACGTTCTTGTTGGAAGCTTGAATCCTTGATCCAGCAAGGGTTTCTCGCTGCAGGTAGTTGTGCTAGATACCTGTGGTACTAGCGCTGCCAAGCCGATGACATCGCCGATTTCTGCTGCAGATGGCAGTTTTTTGGCCTCTTGGCCAAACCTAGGTAGGTCCTCAATCACCTTTTTCCCCTGCACAGAAGCTCTGTAAGGCCGCAGCCACAGCATTGCCCAGCTGCTGGCCAACCATGCAAGCGGGAAGCAGCCGACAATGCAGAGCAGCAGGCCTTCGTGCATCGTGAAGCCTTTGATACCGTGCTTATCTGCAGACTCTGTGCTGCAGGTGGTCAATACAGGCTCTGCTGGTGCAGTGGTTTGGTGAGGCCGAAACGTTGTTTGCAGGATGCGTGCACAGGATGCGATATTGTAGCAGAAACTCTCGTGATCACAGGAACCAGACAATGATCAATTCCACGACAACATGGACGGATGATCCCAACACCTGGGGCACTTCATGCATGCGAGGGGAGGACTTCGAGATTGACGTTGGCACGTTCACAGTTGTCGGGCCGTCACCTGTTTTGCAGCAGGTGACGTGTGTTGCGGGGTGGACATGTGCACTCGAGATCTCCGGCACCGGCATTCGTAACGTCGATCGTGCAATGATCCTGGAGACTTGTGGTGTGGCTTCATCTGTGGAGGGATTACCAAGCTCACCGGGCACCGAAGTTGTTCGGGCACCAGGTGGTTCCTACCAGCTCTGTTGGTGTGCAACATCTGGTCTGTTGAGCTGCAGATTGTCTGTAGAGTTCACCTTTGGCTTTGGACAGCTCCACATCTTGGGTCCCTTGCGTGGGCAAGATCGGACATGCGTGGCCGGACAAAGTTGCGTTGTGGATGTCCTCGGGCTGGGTCTGTCGGATGGAGATCGGTTCTTGGTGGCAGAGACTTGTGGAGCTTTCACGACCCTGCCCAGATTCCCTTCGTCAGGCCTTTCCGAGCCTCTTTCCACGGCCCGGAACAGCTCTACTGAACTGTCAGTGAGGTCGTTTACCATTTCTTGGGGCCGGACAGCTGTGACAGCCCAGGGTGGAGACTACAGGCTTTGCTGGTGTTCTCGTGCTGCTTCGCAGATCTCTGATCGTTCGTGCTCTCTTCATCCGGGCTTTCTCGAGATGGCCAATTCCTCTGGAGGTGAAACGCTGCAGCCTGCAGCCAACCACGGCTTTCTTTTCGATGCAGGAAGGCTTCGGGTTCGTGGGGTCTTCCCCCTGGACCAGGCCCGTACTTGCATTTCTGGCCAGACCTGCCAAATAGATGCTATCACAGGCCTCGACCTGCGGAACGGAGATGCTGTGATGGCTTTGGAGACCTGCGGTGTCAATCAGGCGATTGGCCGCTTTGCCTGGGCAGGGCTGGCCACGAGCGTGGCGGCCAGCGGCTCCAGCTTTTCCTGGGGACCTGAACCGATCACGGCAGCCGGAGGGATCTACCGTCTGTGCTGGTGTGCGGCATCACATCATGGCTGCGAGATTCCGAGCAAGTTTGTCGTTGATTTCGGATCTCTTATGCTGCTTGGGTCCGAGGCAGAGCACATCCGTCATTCGCGAACTTGTGTTGCGGGCACGACTTGCCGCCTGCATCAAGTTGAAGGCCAAGAGTTGCCTGCAGGTAGCCAGCTGCTTGTCCTGGACAGCTGCGGCACCACCAGCCAAGTACCCCGACTCCCGGCGATTTCGATCCCGGCTCACGCTTCGAATTGGACATACACAAGCCTCGAGCTTGGAGTGGTGACAGCTGCTGCAGGGCAGTATCGGCTATGCTGGTGTGGTGGGCAGACGGGCTGCATTGATGCACAGCAGTTTAAATTCGATGCTGGTGGCTTCACCCTGCTTGGACCGGGACCCCTGGAGCAACACAGGACATGCGTTAGTGGACAGCCATGTGCCATGGAGGGGCTTACGGGCATCGGACTAGAAGACCTGAACGGTGGCACCTTTTCCGTTCTCGACACGTGTGGCATCGCACCCTGGCAGTCGACTTTCCCGCCGGTGTCCGCTTCCCAGTCGTTTTGTGATTCCTGTGTGTGTTTCCCTTTGACCAATTACGAAGCTGACTGAGCTTAGCAGCTTCTTGATAGTTGCAGAGGGCTTTCCACAGGTAAACACTAGCAGATTGCAGGAAGTTTTCTCGCCTTCGCCGGAAGTTGTAGGATGCAGCGCCATCTGCCAAGAGGTCTGGACTCGGTTTTGCTCTTTTGTGCCCGTGCTTCCTCTTTGTTTTTATCTTCACCTCCCCTCGCTCAGGTCTTCGACCCGAGTGACTGCTGGATCAGAAGAGGTTGCAGTATTCTGGAATGCCTCGATACTTCTGCCAGGTGGTCAACACAGACTCTGCTGGTGTCCCAGGCCTTCAGGCTGCACAGCTGAAGCAGACTTTTTGATGGACGTCGGTCGCATTGAGCTCGTCGGGGTGTCACCTCTGCCGCAGCACCGGACATGTGTGAGTGGACAAACGTGCGAGTTTGATGGAATTTCCGGCCACTATCTATCTGATCAAGATGTCTACTTGGTGGCTGACACGTGTGGCACTACGTTGGGACTGCCACGATTCCTGGGAAGAAGCAGCTTCTCCACTTCAGTCACAGCTTCTGGAGCACGTGTTTCGTTTGGATCCGTGCCGGTGACAGCTGCAGGTGGTCACTTCATGCTCTGCTGGTGTTCCGGCACTCTTGCAGGCTGCAGCAGCCCTGGTGACTTTCAAGTCGCGGGCACACTCAGCTTGTTGGGACCGGCTCCGCTCCGGCAGGACAAGACGTGCATCAGTGGTCACACCTGCAGCTTTGAAATGACCAGCCACCTACCGCACGCAGGAAATTCGTTCCTGGTTGTGGACACGTGCGGCACAAACAGTCTGCCACATGGTGTCCCCTCAACACCCTTCCAAACTACAATGTATCTCTCATCTTTTTCAGTGGGCTTCGTGGATGCTGACGGAGATGGCATTACTGCCTGTGGAGGCGACGAGTGCTTCAACGATCCGTTTAAAATCTATGGTGGGATCTGTGGCTGTGGCGTCGCCGACGTCGACACAGATGGTGATGGTCTAGTGGACTGCTTGGATTGGTGCCCCCTGGATCCAAACAAGACACTTCCCGGATACTGTGGATGTGGCGACACCGAAGATGACACGGACGGGGACGGTGTGTTAGATTGTGCTGACAAATGCCCCCTCGATCCAACGAAGACCAACCCTCAGCTGTGTGGATGTGGAGTGCCAGATACAGACTCAGACATCGATGGTACCCCAGACTGCTATGACAAGTGCCCCAGTCAGCCAGACAGTGTTGCTGGTGTGTGCCAGTGTGCCGCGAGCTTTGCCGACGATGACTTCGACGGAACCCCCAACTGCAATGACCTGTGTCCACTAGATCCACTGAAGCTGGCGCCCGGGCCAGGAGGTTGTGGCACTCCTAACACAGACAGCGATGGGGACGGCACCGTTGACTATTTGGACATGTGCCCTTTGGATGCCGGCAAAGTCGAGTATGGCGACTGTGGATGCGGGGTTTCGGACATCGACTCGGACTCTGATGGATTGCCCGACTGCGTCGATGCATGTCCCCTCGACCGCGGCAAGAACCTGACAGGTATCTGTGGCTGTGGGATCTCGGACGAGGATCCTGATGGAAACCGAAGGCCGATTTGCTTTCCAGATTGTCCGCCAGTCTCGACCTCCACCCAGTACGTTGTCTCTGTGGCCGGACTTGGCAGGGAACAGATCTCAATGGCAGGTGGCCAATATCGCCTCTGCTGGTGTGCCGGCAAGTTGGGTGCAAACGCGAGCAACGTGTCTAATGAGAGCGCAGCAGACAGCTACAGCAGCTGCTCCCACCTGGAAGATTTCAAGGTGGACTTCGGCGGGCTGCTCGTCATGGGGGTCGCGCCTCTGAAGCAGTCTAGGACCTGTGTGAGTGGCTCTTCCTGCATTGTCGAGGGCTTCACTGGCTTTGGCCTCACCTCAGCCGATGGTTACATGATCTTGGAGACCTGCGGTGTCCACTCGGGACCTCTTCTGACCTTGCTGCCCTTTGACAGCCACGGAAATGTTAGCAATGGATGGTCAATAACACGGCGCTGGGTGGGGGAGACCCAAGTCTCGGGTGGCCTCTACAGGTTGTGCTGGTGTGCGGACCACTTTGACAACGTGACCTCTTGGTGTCAGCATGCAGAATACCACATAGTTGACGTCGGAACCATGTCCTTGGTAGGACCAGAACTCTCCCAGGTCGGATGGACCTGCGTGTCTGGGCAGGCATGTGTCCTGGACGCCATCGCCGGCCATGGATTGTCCGCCCTCGATGCCCTTATCGTTCTGGAGACCTGTGGAACAGCCCTTTCTGGCACTTTGGGCCTCCCGCGGCCAGCGGCTCCCCTGGAGCTCCTTCCTTCGCTTCACGGGCGTGCATCGTGGCATGATCCTTTGACCATACCCGGAGGTGACTTTCGTCAGGGCCCCAGTTCCGCTCTGCGCACGCCACAATTCACCCCTAGATAGTCTCATGCACGATTGCAGCTCTGGCTCCGCACCAAGGTCTGTGCTGGTGTGCTGGCATAGAGCAGTCATCAAGCCTTTTGAATGGCTCCTGCATTGCTGGCAATGACACAGCTCCTGCAGAGCACTTTGCTCTGGACGTTGGTCGTGTCACTGTCCTCGGCGCTGCGCCCCTCACTCAGCATCGGACTTGCATTGCAGGGCTGCCTTGCCACATCCATGGCATTACCGGCCACGGATTGACAGACGATGACAAGGTGCTTGTTCTTCACACATGTGGCAATGTGGCTCATGTTAGCGGATTTCCAGGTTATGGTGCAATGCGATATACATCAGCATCTGGAGCATCAGTGTTCTGGGCTTCTCCAGTCACAGCTCTTGGGGGGCAGTATCGCTTATGCTGGTGTTCCTCTGGTCAGCATTGCAGCAGTGGCGAGCAGTTCCGCACGGATTTTGGTAGCTTCACACTCGTGGGGCCCAGCGGGTCCAACCAGGACAGGACGTGCATCGCTGGACTCAGTTGTGCAGTGGAGGGCATTGCAGGGCAAGATTTGTCTGTCCAAAATCAGTACGCTGTGTTGGACACCTGCGGAGTCGCAAGTCCCATAGCGGGCATGCCGCCGCTGGAGACCACTTTCCACAATGCCGCTGTTGCCTCTGTTACTGTGACAGCCGTGGCTGGTCAATATAGGCTCTGCTGGTGTAGTGGCCTGCTGGACCAAACACCACTTGGGTCGAATTCGACCGATAACCAATCGAACGGCTCCGGCTACCAGTCTTTCCTCCCGTGGAACATGAGCCTTGTCAATTTGACTTCATCCAACGACACCGCCTTGCCGTGTCGAACCGCTGAGGAGTTTCGGATGGATGTCGGCGCGTTGCTTCTCATTGGAGCGACCACGTTAGTAAGTGACTTCACATGTGTGTCTGGTAGAGATTGCGAGCTTGATCACATAGTTGGCATCAGCTTGAGTGATGGGGACGCCATCGTTGTGCTTGATACGTGTGGACGACCCGGTGCTCCATTGCAGCCTCGAGCTCTTGCCAACGGCACGCATGCTGCCTGGCAGACCATCACAACACCAGGGGGCATATACCGATTGTGCTGGTGCAGTGCATCCAAGCAGTGTCACTGGGCCGAAGATTTCGATCTAGACATTGGAAGGCTCTTCGTCTTGGGTCCACGGCCTCTGTCACAAGACCGGACTTGTGTTAGTGGCATGGAGTGTGCGGTGAATGGTATTGAGAGTTATGGTATGCTGCAGGCAGGCAGCATTGCGATTCTCAGCACCTGTGGCCTTGTTGATGGAGCGGACATATGGGCTGGGCTTTCTGTGAGCTTTGCATCACAGCAGCAGCCGGCAAGTAGTGTTTTCTCGGCAAGTTTGGTGACCGACGTTGAAATGACGGCTGCCGGCGGCAAGTACAAGCTCTGCTGGTGTGGCTCCTGGGCTGGCGGCTGCGACAGATCTGAGGACTTTAAGGTCGAGTTCGGCAACTTCTTTCTGGTGGGAGTCTCCCCTCTTCACCAAGACCGGACCTGCTTCGCTGGCGCTGCTTGTGTCTTGGCGGACATCTCCGGCCATGGTATTGCTGCAGAATCTTCGGTTCTGGTGCTGGAGACCTGTGGTGTTGGTCGGGCAACGCTCATGAGGTCGTCTTGGGACGAAGCTTCCGTCTCTGCCAGTGGCTCGGTGACCTCGTGGCCCATGCGGCCCTCCTCTGGCCCAGGAGGTCAGTATCGCTTGTGCTGGTGCTCCCGGCAACCCTGCAGCGTGCGTGATGCATTAGTGGATTTTGGCCAGTTGACCTTGGTGGGCCCGGAACCCCTGTATCAGCATCGGACGTGTGTGAGCGGGCTTACATGCGAGTTGAGCGGAATAACGGGGACTTTCTGGAGTGGAGACATCTGGGTGCTAGACACTTGTGGGGCGCGAAGTGGCTTGATTGGAGGATTTGCGATGGACGGTCGTTCTCCCATCTCCATGCCTGAAGGCATTGCCAGCTTCGACTATCCGGTTTCAGCCGCAGGCGGACAGTATCGACTTTGCTGGTGTTCAGATGGTTTCTTCAATCACAGCAACTGGACAGATGATCTGTCTCGACGCGGCTGCAGCTTTGCCCCGGAGTTTGTTCTGGACATCGGAGAGTTGCTGCTGGTTGGAGTGTCACCACTTACGCAAGACCGAACATGCGTTGCTGGGCAACGCTGCCAGCTTTCAGACTTGCGGGGATTTGGCCTGTCTGCTCTGGACACGGTAGCTGTCCTCGACACCTGTGGGCAGCAGGCTTTGCAACGCTGGCCAGCGGAGCCCACGATGCTCGAAACAGATGGCAAGCTCAGCGTATCTTGGAGCTTCGTCTCAACAGCAGGCGGCCAGTATCGGCTGTGTTGGTGTCCTGGATTGTCTTGGACCTCGGGGGAAATAGACGATGATTTCGATCCCTGGGCTTCGAATGACACTTGGAACGGGAGTGGGACCCCGGTGCAAAGCTTCCAGAGAAGATGTTCTTCCACGGAGTCTATGATTGTGGACTTTGGTGCATTGACACTTCTAGGTCCAACTCCCTTATTCCAGCACTACACATGTGTCAGTGGCCAACCCTGTGAATTGGAGCATGTGGAGGGTCTTCACCTGCAGGAGGGAGATCGTATCCAACTTCTGGAGACCTGTGCAGTGAGTGCGCAGGGCGTGGTGCCGTCGCGCATGCCTGCAGGAGGTCTGCTACGGGCCTCTGCTCGTGGCAACAACAGTCTTACTTTCCCCCTCGGCGAGACGGATGTACCGATCTCTGCGGTTGGAGGGACTTATCGCCTTTGCTGGTGCTCGGCCGACGTCGACTGCAGGGCCTTGGAGTCTTTTCGGTTGGATATCGGACAGCTGACGGTGCTGGGTGCAAGCTCAAGCAGTTTCACATGTGTCAGCGGTAGGAGGTGTCGTATTGACGGAGTCGCAGGACTTTTTGCAAGCTCGGCCTTTATGGTGCTTGACACTTGTGGCACGGGCACTTCGATTGACGAGGGGCAGATGATTCAAAGCTCTGGTAGCACGTCCGGGGTGTCGGGAGTGCCAAGTGCCTCTGGTGGGCAGTACAGGCTCTGTTGGTGTGGCTCTTCCGAACAGACCTGGATCCAAGGGGACAACGACAGCAACTCTTCAGTCAGTGCGTTGCGAAATCTAGGTTGCGCGACATCGAAAGACTTCCAAATTGATGCTGGCGAGATTCATCTGGTCGGACCGGTTCTGGGTCAAGCACGCACGTGCATGGGGGGTCAGTTGTGCCGCATTGAAGGGCTTGTTGGCTACGGCTTGGCCCCGAGTGATCGGCTGCTTGTCATGAACAGCTGCGGCAGCGTTTCTGCTCTGCCTGCAGGATTTCCTGGCACAGGTACGGCCTTAGTTCCAACGAACAGAACGCTGGCAACCAATATTTCAGACTTCTGGAACACCGTTGTGACTGCAGCCGGGGGCACGTATCGTTTATGCTGGTGCAGTGAGCTAGATGCTAGCTGCTCAGCATCTCAAGACTTTTCGGTGGATGTCGGTGACTTTACATTGCTTGGTCCACAGCCCTTGGAGCAACACCGAACTTGCATCAGCGGCCGGGCCTGCTTTCTGGCGGCCTCGCCGGATCATGGTCTGGAGGGGCTTGGAGTTGACCCGACGGATGGCCTATTGGCAATTCCGCTCGCATCCACCTGCGGGACTCTTGGCGCGAGGAGTATCGCCGGCACAACCTCCTACCTTTCTGTGCCCAGCGGCTCCTCACCGGTAACCGTTGTACAGGCGGTGCCTCGCATGAGTGAGCCCGGTGGCCTATATCGGCTTTGTTGGTGCAGCTCTCAGGCTTTGTCCTGCACACAGGCGCAGCATCATTCTGTTCAGGTAGGCCTTCTGACCGTCCTTGGCCCTGCCCCTTTGAAGCAGGATCGAACCTGCATATCAGGGACTAGCTGCATGGTGGACCTCCAGGGATCATTTGTCGATGCAGCAGTAGCTGGGATGCTGATGGTGCTGGAAACATGCGGCCTTCCAGCTCTGCTGCCACGCTTCCTTCCAGATGGTGTAGTGCCACTTCCTGGAGGGACAGAAGCAAACAGGTCGGCAAACATGTCGGCATTGCAAATCAGTGCCGCTGGTGGGCTTTACCGCATGTGCTGGTGTGCACACGCGGCGTCGTCTCTTCTTAATGAGTCTCTTGCATATGATTCGGGTCTTCGCCTCGAAGCTTGCAGCGAGCCTTCGGACTTTGTTGTGGACGTCGCGGCCTCAGGCGGCAAGAATGTCTCCACCCGGGAAGCACAATTTGACAAGCATCCGAGGTTGGTGCCTTGACGGTTGTGGGGCTCGCTCCCCTTGAGCAGCATCGAACCTGCATCAGTGGTCAGATGCCGCTCGGCACAACCCCCGCTGAAACTGGTTGCTGCTGCCATTTCGCGACAGCAGCTTGATCCCAGATGCTTCCTCAGGTGTGTGGTGGATGGGATCAGCGGACGGCACCTCACGTTTGACGACAAGCTCCTCCTGCTAGAAACATGTGGCACGGTGCTCGGTCCTTCTTTGGACGACCGCTTCAATCCTGCTTCTGAAAGCCGAGGTGATGCTCGTGGGGACCGAGGATCGGGGATGGCAGTGGCCGATTCGCTCGTCGCCACCGTGCCTTTCACAAACTGTGGGGGAGTCGAAACACATGTATTTACGACATGGATTTGGGTTGGCTTTGAGTTTGATGTTTCTGGAGCCCTAGGCTTAATATTTCCGGCATTGAAGGTCATGGGGGGGTTCTTACTTGCCGAAAAGTTGTTCTCACAGTTGAGTCTCAAGAGGACGCCAGTAAACGTATTTGGGGAACCGCTCAGGATACCTTCTCCACGATGATCTTCTCCTGGGGCTCGAAGAAGCTCAGCCTAGCTGGCGGACAGTACCGACTTTGCTGGTGCTCTACAGCGGCGGCTTCAGCGAATGTACCCTTGAACATCTCAGAGCAATCAAACAGAACTGCCTGTACCACGGCCGAAAGCTTCCAGGTGGACGGAGGCCGCATGACAATCATCGGTGTGGCCCCGCTGGGGCAAGATCGGACATGCTTGTCGGGGCAGACGTGCATGATCGACGGCATTTCAGGTCAGCACCTCTCAGATCGCGACCTGTGGTTGCCCTTGGAGACCTGCGGAGTGCCGGATCAGATCATCTCACCAGCCGGGCGACTTGTTACGACGGTGTCGCTTTCAGGCAGCTTCGTTTCATGGGGTAACCATGCTCTCACACTGGCAAGCGGGCAGTACCGCCTCTGTTGGTGCTCGGGTGATGCGCCTTGCAGTACATCTTCTCAGTTTTCCATAGATGCTGGAGAGTTCCACGTTGTTGGGCCGTCTCCACTGCAGTCCCACACCTGCGTGTCGGGGCAAACTTGTGTTGTCAAGGACGTAGTGGGCACGGGATGGGAAGCCACGGATCAGTTCTTGGTAATGGAGACCTGTGGGCACAGCCAGGCCTGGGAAACATGTCAATGTGAAGTTAAAGTTCCTCTAAGTCTAAGTAAAGCCTCAGTCTTGCACAACAGCTACAGTTACGGACTGCCTGCAGGCCACCACCGGACTGAGTTCGACGGGGCGTGTTGCTGCCTTGAGCGAAACCTACGCGACAGTGACCTGGAGTTCAGCCCGTGTTCTCGCACTGGGCGGCAGTTATCGGCTGTGTTGGTGTCCGGGCGTGATCGTATCAAGTGGTGCCAACAGCTCGCGCGACTGTGTTGCGACGGAGTTCGCTGCAGATGCCGGCGAGCTCTTCGTCCTTGGCCCCACCAGGAGGCAAGAGTGGACTTGCATCTCTGGTCAAGCATGCTCAGTCTCTGGGCTAGATGCCGGTGCGGCAACTGGTGACTTTGGTCAGCTGGTAGTGCTCGAGACTTGCGGCGTTGGAGGCATCCTGCCCCGCTGGTCTGAATCAGGTCGTTTGGCACCACATTTGGTCGCGACCGGCTCTGTCACTTCTGGTGTTGTGGTGTCTGCAAAAGGCGGCCGATATCGTCTCTGTTGGTGTGCTTCATTGCAAAATCCAGCAGCACACTGCTCAGAAGGTCCGGCCAACGCATCTTGCGAGCTCTACACCAGCAACGGTACCGGAAACTTAAGCTTGCCTTGTCAAGCTGCACAGGATTTTTCTGTCGACCTGGGCAGCATGGATGTGCAGGGCCCGAGCCCACTCGACCAGCACATGACCTGCTTCAGCGGCCAAGCCTGCCAGTTCCATCATCTTACCGGCTACTATCTGGATAGCCTCAGCAGGCTCGTGATCCTCGATACTTGTGGTGCCAACGCGTTGCCATCCCGACTGAAGCAGGAAGGTTTCATGAGTGGTGGTGTCTGGGCATCCGCCGAGATAACTTCGCCCGGAGGAGTTTACAGGCTTTGTTGGTGCAGGGAGTCGAACTCCACTTGGCAGAGCTGCCTGCTGCCTGAGCATTTCCTGACCGACGCTGGCACCCTGACAGTCGTTGGGCTGAGCCCGCTGAGTCAGGATCGTACCTGCATCAGCGGCCGCAAGTGCACCCTTGACAGTCTGGAAGGAGTCGGCTTGGAAGATGCATCTTTTAAGGTGCTCATCATGAACACTTGTGGGCGGGATGACGCAGTGCCAAAGTGGGCCCATGCCGCAGACTTGTGGGCAAAGCGGCCCGGCTTTGCTTCGTGGCTGGACCTGGCCGTCACGGCTGTTGGGGGTTACTATCGCTTGTGCTGGTGCTCACATACGAATCACACATCGGAACGCCAATGTCTGCGATCCTCTCACTTCGAGGTAGATGCAGGTGGCCTCCTCCTTGTGGGCCCGACGTCCCTCGAGCAGGACAGAACATGCATCAGCGGGCAGACTTGCGTCTTGGAGTCGCTGCTCGGAGTTGGATGGACGGCTTCAGATGTAATAGCTATACACTCCACTTGTGGCGCCTTACATGAAGAAGGGGTGCCAGCGAGGTTCATTCAAGAAAGCCCACGCCTGTCAGAGGCAGGTGGAAGCTGGACGGCAAGCTGGGATTCAGTACGTAGTTCTTCTGCAGGAGGTCAGTATAGACTATGCTGGCATGTGGGAACGGAGCTGAATGGAACAGCGGTGGCTGCAGATGTGGAAGGTTGGATAGACATGGGTGCCTTCACACTTGTCGGACCATCTACCGACGCTTCTCGAACATGCCTCAGCGGACAAACCTGCCGAGTAGATGGCTTGCTGGGATACCACTTGGATACCAACGACTCATTCATTGTGATGGAGACATGTGCCTTGGACGACACATTTGTTATGTTTGGAATCTTATTCTTAAGCTGCTTTTTGCCGGGAATTGCGTCCGTGAGCGAGTAGAAGCCAGAAATACATTGACATCCAGTTCGAAGTGGCGCGGAGGAACGAAGGAGAGAAGGATGGGCAGAACACGTGGAGAAGAAGGGAGGAACACATGCAGAGAAGGACATGAAGCACGACCGCAGGGATCGGATGAGAAGCAGTCCCCCAAAGACAGAACGAACGAACGAACAAGCTAAAGACAGATGAAGGAAGTTAGTCAGACTCAATGAAACAAAAAGAACGACATGAAGAACAACATCTTAAATCCGCAAGCAGTATAGCCTGTATGGCCTTCCTGTGATCCTTGTTTTGCCTTTCTTGAGATCGTTGCGGCGCGTAAAGCCGAGCAGTTGGGACTCTTTCCACAAGCCCACATCTTTCAACTAACGCAGCTTGCCGAGTGCTGTGGGGTTTCTTGCAGACCTGTACAATCATACTTGACCCTCTGAACAATTGCAGACATATAAGTCGTATACTTCAATTCAGAATCGCATCAGCTTTAAACAGACAAGACGGGCAGAACCGTCGCCAATCAAACCATGTTGATGTGCACGAACCTGAATGTCTGACTTGGTTGTCGTGTGTGCACGATTACTGCAGAGCACCGCAACCAGGTGGAGTTACGCAAATTGTTCCCAAATTTGCAATCGGCGGGCAGTTCGATAGGGTGCAAGCCAGCGGGGCCGCGGTGTCTTGGGGTGCAGCACTGAACTCTGCTGCTGGTGGCCAGTACAGACTGTGCTGGTGTGGAGCGCTGAGCGATTGCAGTGACCCTGAGTATTTTGGCGTCGATGTTGGCGAGCTTCACGTTTATGGCCCAGCCCCTTTGTCGCAAGATCGAACATGTGTGAGTGGGAGGACATGTTCCTTCGTTGGCCACGTTTATGGTGAGCACACATGGTCCATGTCAATCATGGACACCTGTGGGCTAGACCGTGATCCACCGCAAAGAACTGCTGCGGTGGCCGCTACGGGAAGTGTCACTTCAGTGACGTTCGATTCTTTGACATCCGCAGGCGGCGTCTACAGGCTTTGCTGGTGTGCTGGGAGGACCTGCTCTACCTCAGAGTCATTTGCAGTCGATGCGGGGAAGCTGGAGCTTGTTGGAGTTTCTCGTACGCAAGATAGAACATGCATTTCTGGGCGAACTTGTGAGATTGATGGGATTCGTGGCTACCATATCTCGAACCACGACTACCTCCAGATTCTAGAGACCTGTGGAGAAGCGGGCTCACATCCGTATTTGCCCAGACAGCAGCTGTCGGTTCAGGGCGGAAGTGCTCGTGCCATCTGGCCAGTCGTGCCTGTGGCTGCTTATGGAGGCCAGTACAGAATCTGCTGGTGCAGTGGCGAGGGGGCGGACTCCTACGAAGGAAACTCTTCGCATGACTGTGCATCCTCGCAAGACTTCGCCGTAGAGGTGGGGAATCTCCTGGTCCTCGGCCCTAGCTTTCCAGAACAGATGAGAACTTGCGTCAGTGGCCATTCATGCAGGCTCACGGGTCTCTTGGGCGAGAGCTTTGCTGGTGGATCCGAAATCCTGGTAGCGGAGACATGTGGAACCGCTGCCGTCATTCCAGGGTTTGCCCAGGCAAGGCAAACTCTTCAGCAAAACCTCCTTTTGGAAGTTGCGTGGGCCACGGTAACTGCAGCCGGAGGCCAATATCGTCTCTGCTGGTGTTGGCCCCTCGAACGCTACAATGCTTCTGGCGCTGGGGCTGGCGAGTGCGAGGTGGCCTCGAAGTTTCGCATTGACCTGGGCACGCTGACGCTGTTGGGTCCGCTGAGAGATCAAGACCGGACCTGCTCTTCCGGCCTCAGCTGCTTCATTGATGGCATCTTGGGGGAAGGGCTGCTGGACACGGACAATGTGCTGGTCTTGGAGACCTGCGGAATCAACCAGGTGGTGCCACGATTTCCCGGCGCTGGGGTGTTCACCAACATCTCTCGAAGTGGTGCAAGCATCAGCTGGGGAGCTGCCCGGAATACTGCTGCAGGAGGAAGCTACCGACTTTGCTGGTGCTCACAAAATGCATGTAGTACACCCACAGACTTCCAGGTGGACTTTGGATCGCTTCTCCTACTCGGAGTCGCGCCTTTGGATCAAACGTTGACCTGTGTGGCGGGAAGGGCGTGCCCATCCTCGTGGTCTTTCGGAGTCTCTGGGGTCTCGTCTTCAACCTTCGGAACGGCGATAGCTCTAGAGACCTGTGGAGCGGAGAGGGCCCTTGCCCCGCCAAGAATGCCAAGCAACATCACCGGAGTTGAGATCCTTGAGAGGTCAGCTGCTGGGAAGTGGAGGCTCTGTTGGTGCGCCTCGGGTCTGACGAACGACTCAGTGTCAAACCGAACGGTATGTGAAACCATGCTGGATTACATTGTCGACATCGGGGAGCTGTCGATCCTGGGACCGCTGCCAACGAGCGGTCACACCTGCGTGACCGGCCTTCCTTGCCTCGCAGATGGCCTCCTGGGCTTGGGTTTATCCCCCAATGATTCGTTCGTGATACTTTCAACTTGTGGGACCGAGACCACGCCGATGCGCTTTCAGAATGCTGCGTTTGCTACGTTTGATTCCGCGACGGGCACGCTCCACTGGGACGGAAACGCCTCCTTCACGGCCTTGACTGCTGCAGGTGGACAGTATCGTCTCTGTTGGTGTCACCCTGTGTCGGATGTTGACTGCCTGGCGTCAGTTGACTTCAGGTATGATGTCGGAAGCTTTGCAATCTTGGGTCCGGCGCCCTTGGAGCAGCATAGAACTTGCATTAGCGGAGCGGCGTGTGCGCTGGAGGGACTCACAGGTAACTTGCTGTCAGATGCTGATGCAGTGATGGTGATGCAGAGCTGTGGCTCCAAGAACGGCGCTGGCATTGGCTTTTCAGCCTCGGGGCTTGGAAATTCTTCTTTGATCCTGACAGCCAGCGGTGGCTCATACCGAATTTGTTGGTGTACTCCACCTGCCAGAGCGTTTGTGGCTGGTTTGCCTTCCTTTGCCTGGCAGGACAGGGACGGCTGCAACCTGGCAGAAGACTTTCTGGTCGATATTGGCGCTTTTACCGTTCTGGGCCCTCTACGCGACCATGCGAGGACCTGTGTCGCCGGTGCCATTTGCAGTAGCGCCATCCAAGGGCTTGGTCTTTCGTTGGATTACCGCTTGCAGATTCTTGACACTTGTTCGGGATCAGGGCAGGTGGCAGAAGTCGAGACAAGAAACAATACGGCGCCTTTGTGGTTTGACAAGATCTCATCTGCGGGTGGAGCCTATCGACTTTGCTGGTGTGCCCTCCAGGCCTGCAATGAGATGGTGGACATCGGGACCGTCTTCCTCCTTGGAGTAACACCGCTGCAACAGGACAGGACGTGTGTCGCGGGGCAAGCATGCAGGCTCGATGGGGTGTCTAGCTATGGAGAACTAGATGCTAGCCATCTGATGATCCTACAGACTTGCAATGTGTTTGATGGGCTTGGCATTGCAGACGTGCATGCCGTAGCAGACACTGCGGTGGCACGCGGCAATTTCAGCAACGCTTCTGGGGAGATGCCGGCTGTCCAAAGCAAAGCCTGGTTCCTGGAAGAGGTGACTCTACCTGGTGGGGGCTACCGCCTGTGCTGGTGTGGATCCATGGCTGCCGCGGGTGCAGCGAACGACACGGGCGGCCCTGGCAACCTGACGGCTTCTGACTGCAGGGTGATTCCAGGGTCTCAGGTGGACTTCGGGGAACTCTTGGTACTTGGTCCGTCCAATATTGTTGAGCTGACCTGTGTGAGTGGGCAAGCCTGTGTCGTGGATGGGCTGCTCGGTCAGCACCTCTCGACAGGCGACTTCATCACCATTCTGGATACTTGCGGTGTGCCGAGTCCAGATCTCGATGGCTTCCCCCGGAACGGCTTGGCAGTGAGCATTGCTGCAAGTGGCAGCGCAGCAAACTGGGGTCTTCAAACTCCACTTACGGGCCAAGGAGGGTCCTACAGGTTGTGCTGGTGCGCGGCTGGCTTTTCATGCTCCAGCTCCGCAGACTTTGCTGTTGAACTGGGATCGCTCTCCTTGCGGGGGCCCATCCCTCTTGGCCAGGACAGGACCTGCGTGGCCGGTTTCAGCTGCAACATCGCTTTCGATGGTATGGACATGAGCCCATACGTGGTGGAGGCAGTCAGCTCCGTTCGCCTCGCCCTCCTCCCTTCAAACGTGCTCTCTGCGGGACTCGCGGTTGTGGATGTGCACTACGCGAGTGCTTCCGCACATTTGCATGTTCCGAACATGAGTGATGTCAGCTTGGCAGCCTCCTGCAGCATGGCGAATACGGGCTCCTTTCTGTCTGCAGGGCAAGCGTTGCTTTGGTATTCGTGCTCCTGGCAGCCAGCAGTTACTGCCTCTCAGTGGTTTGTTTCGCTACAGTCTGACGCAACACTGCAGATATTTGAGGTTCAGTTCCTGGGCCGAAATGGATGGACCACAATTTCTGACGCCGTCGGTGTCCACGGGGATGCAGGCAAGTTGTCAGATGGATTGCTTTCGAATTGGGTGCTGGCAGACTCAGGGCATCCTATTCAGCTCATCTTTACAGCCTTACAGCCAGACACCATAGTCATTGCCGACACCTGTGCCACGAGCTCGTCACCTTGGGGTCCTGTTGCTCTCAGTCCATATGCTGCGGACGTTTTGACCGTCCAGGGTGGACTGTATAGAATGTGTTGGTGTGCGCGGGGTTTCGGGTGCAGCTTCAAGGAAGACTTTGCCGTGGATGCGGGACTGTTGACCGTCGTGGGTCCCAAGACGGTGCACAACACTTGCATTGGAGGGCACTCCTGCTTTGTGGAACTTGACGGTCAATATCTGTCCGATGACAATCAGATTTTAGTCCTCCACACATGTGCATTGGAAGATGCACATGCTTGGAAGCTGACTGACCTCGGTACCTGGCACCATCTTTCCAGCGGAGCAACCCTTTGGAGCAAAGCTGCTGTCACATCTTCCGCAGGATCATACAAGCTTTGTTGGTGTAGTGGCTTCTCAGCGTGCGAGACTGCATCTGACTTCTCTGTAGAGGCAGGCGAGCTTTGGGTACTTGGAGTAGCACCTCTTTTCCAAGCCCACACTTGCGTCAGTGGTCAGACCTGTGTCGTTGATCACCTGACTGGTTTGGGCTTGTCGAAGGATCAGGTCATGATACTAGACACTTGCGGTACCCAAGCCTTGCTGTACAGGGGCCTTGATGCCAGTGAGCTTGTCAACGGAAGCAGCACCATCCTTACCTGGGCAAGCGAGTTGACAGCGCCGGGTGGTCAATACAGGCTGTGTTGGTGCAGCACCCAATATGCACAAGATGCCTGTGCCACTGCATCAGATTATCAGGTTGACTTTGGTCGGTTCACCATCGTTGGACCCTCGCCACTGCAGCAAACGTGGACATGCATTGCTGGTCAATCATGCCGAATTGATGGCAGCACTGGTTTTGGAACTGGGCTTCCAACTGAGATTGTGATCATGGACACTTGCGGTGCCCCGGACAGCCAGATCGTGTTCCACAGCGCACCTATCGGGGGCTTGTCCAGCTCGTGGGAAAGCTCACTGTTGTCCATTCCTGCTGCTTCCTACCGTCTTTGCTGGTGTGCAGTCGCATCATATCCGTGTACGATGGCCGAGAGTTACAGGGTGGACTTTGGCGGGCTGCTGGTGCTTGGCCCTTCTCCGCTCATGCAAGATCGGACATGCGTGTCTGGCAGCAGGTGCGAAGTTGATGGTTTCCTGGGCCTAGGCTTGTCCAGTTCAGATCTTGTGGTTATACAGGACACATGTGCAGACCACCGTTCGCGAATGGGCCTGCCAGCAGGTGGGTCCCTGATTTCGCTGATGCCAGCAGCTGGGAGCGCATATGTGTCGGCGGAGAGTGTCAGGAGCAGTAACGGCACCATGACGTTCAACACTCTCACGGCAGCAGCAGGCCAGTACAGGCTTTGCTGGACGAGCTGGATGGCCCTTCAGGTTGAAATGTTTGGTAACAGCAGCGAAAATCTTAGTATCAAGGAAGCAGTGAATTTCCTAGGCGGCTGCAATGACACACTTGGCGGGAACAGGACTTGTGCACTGCCTCAGATGCCTGGCCGTTTGATTCTACCTACTGGCATGATTGACATTGGAAGGCTCACGCTGATGGGTCCCACTCCCCTGGATCAGATGCACACGTGTGTCAGCGGACAACGCTGCAGTTTCGGGGGCATCACCGGGATGCATTTGGATGTTGGGGACCAGATTGCTGTGATGGACACCTGTGGACTGCCCGGCAGAATGGACGAGTCATCTCCGGTCCGACCCTTTGCTTCCTGGGTCGACTTTGGAGTCACTACGCTTCCCGGTGCCACTTACCGGCTTTGCTGGTGCAGCGCAGCAGCAGGCTGCAGCTCAGCGGAAGACTTTCTCGTGGACTTCGGCAGGCTGTCCATGCTTGGCCCCGCACAGTCTGAGCAATTCACTTGCGTGTCGGGGCGCCTGTGCACCGTGAAAGGCTTGCTTGGAAGAAGCTTCTCCAGCCTAGATCGCTTGGCGATTTTTGACACCTGTGGACTTCCTCCAGGCAGCGGCGGCGGCAGCCTGCCTCCGATCCAAGGAGGGCCAACACCCCTGGTGCCACGAATTCCTTCAGACGGCACGGGATTTGCGACCTCAAGTGGAGCTGCAGTTCAGTGGGATGGGAAATTCACTGCCTTTGGTGGATCATATCGCTTGTGCTGGTGTGCTGGATCTCCAACAGGCGCCTTTGACAACCCAGCCCAGGATGCCTTGGACACCCTTTGGAGTGGGCTTGCTGGGGCACCAAGCCTTTCGAATGCAAGCAATCTCTCCAGTCGTCGACTCGCCGGCTCCATGGTGTTTACCAACTCGAGCAATGTCTCCAACCTGACGGATCCGGGCTTCCTCTGTCAGCAGGCCTCGCAGTTCCGGGTGGATGTTGGAGAGCTGCTGCTGATCGGGCCCTCGCGGCTTCCAGCGGCCACCTGCGTCAGCGGCCAGACTTGTGTGATCGATGTTGTCACGCAGCCTTCAGAAGATTTCATTCTAATGGACACCTGTGGTGAGTCTGTCTCAAGCCTTGGAGGACCGGCTGTGAGCTCTTCCGTGGTGTCTTGGGGCCCACAAGTGCTTGTAGGCGCTGGTGGAACCTATCGACTGTGTTGGTGCTGGAAAGATGCTGCCGTGACTACCAATTCCTCCAATGCCACTGGAGGCTCATCACAAGTTTCAGCTCCTGGCATTCGAGTCGACGTGAATGCATCAAACACATCAAACGTGTCCCGGGCTTCCCACGAGCCATGTCGGCAGATACAAGACTATGCGGTTGAAGTAGGGCCAGTGCTTCTGCTGGGTCCATCGCCACTGCAACAAGATCGAACTTGCGTGAGTGGGCATACCTGCGCAGTGGAAGGGATAGTTGGCACCGAGCTGGAAGATCTTCTGGTTCAAGACACTTGTGGCAGTCCCTCCTCTTTGATGTTGCCTGTGAACTACAGCTCCGTCGATCATCGATGGCAGCTACCAGTTCTGACACAGCAAGGTGGCACATACAGGCTTTGCTGGTGCTCGGGGATGTTCTCATGCCGCTTGGAAGACTTCCGTGTTGATTTTGGCACCTTACACTTGCTTGGTCCGTTGCCTCTATCTCAGCACCGGACCTGCATTAGCGGATGTCCCTGTACCGTGGACAGACTCGAGGTTTATCCGCCAGAGCTCGCAGGAATGTCTCTTCAAGTTCAACAAACTTGCGCATCCATGCAACTTCTGGACGGATTCCCGACCGATGCAGCTGGGATAGACACGTCAACACGCTCTGCAACTTGGTCAGAGATCACGGCTTCCGGTGGCATCTACAGCTTGTGTTGGCATGTGGAGCCTGATGCAGGGGTCACAAATTTCACTGGAAATGGTTCGCTGCAACAGTCGGGAAACGAGAACCACAGCCTTCGAAATAGCCTGCCTGAAGACCACTCGGTGTTCATGGGCCAGCTCCTTCTCATTGGCCCGGCTCGGGATCATGAAGTGACATGCATCAGCGGAGGCCGCTGTGCTGTGAGGGTTCGTGGACTTCATCTCTCCGACTCAGACTTCATGGCAGTTCTGGACACCTGTGGTGTCAGCACATCGTCGCAGCAGCTCGCCGCGGTACAGCAGTTGAAATTCACGGGTGCACAGGCCGTGCTTGTGGATTGGCCCAGCGCCTCCATGAAGATTGATGGTGGCCAATATCGCATGTGCTGGTGCTCCGGGCTAGCGCTGGCGCAAACAGCCAGGGCCAACGTCTCCAACACATCGCAGCCCTCGCCCTGCGACTCAGCTCAGTCCTTCCGGGTAGATGCTGGGAGCCTCTCTCTGCGTGGCCCGAGACCCGTTCTTCGGACGTGTCTTGTGGGAAGATGTCTTGTCACAGGGCTGGATGGCTTTGCTTTGAGTCCGTCAGACCAGCTGCTACTTCTGGAGACTTGTGGCAGTCCTCGAGTTGCCGATGGCGGCCTCTCACAGAGCCTCCACGAGGAGATGTCTGTCGCGTTCACAATCAGTAGGGCCGGCAGCTACCGCCTGTGCTGGTGTGGTGCAAAGCCTTGGAGTCCGAATACGACGGCATGCTCAAGCCCATTCGAGTTCACGGTGGATGCCGGCGAAGTTTTGGTGTTGGGACCACTGCCGTCACAGTTCAGGACTTGCGTGAGTGGACTGCGCTGCACGTTGGAGGGTCTGCTCGGCACTGGACTTGACGAAGACGATCGTGTGCTGGTTATGGACACCTGCGGCAGTCCCAACGTGGTACCCCTGTTTCCAGCAGCAGGTCTTTCTCACGAAGTTGGTAGCAGTGGGGCTTACGTGTCCTGGGGAAATGCCGTGGTCACCTCGAAGGGAGGAGCATATCGACTGTGCTGGTGTAGTCGAGACTTGAACACCAGCTATTCGGAAAATGCGTCTGACCCAGAATGTAGCTTGCCGAGTGCATTTGGAGTCGACTTCGGCACGCTTGTGCTGCGGGGACCTGCAGATCTTGCAAAGCCACTTTCCTGCATCTCGGGTGATGATTGTGTCATGCAGCCTGTTTCAGGCATGTACACCAGCGAACTGGATTGGGTTCGTGTGCTGGACACATGCGGCATCGATGCACAGCAGCCTGCATACCAAGCGGACATCTCGCTGCAAGTTCTGTCTGTGGCATATGCGAGATCAAATGTCAGTGCTGATGTCAACGTGACTGATGGCCTAGTGCTTGGAGTCAAGAACCAGTCAAGCGTGATGATTCCAGCTGCAGGCGTTCCTGCTGCCGGTGGCCAGTACCGGCTCTGTTGGTGTGGTCATGAGTCGAACTGCCTAGCCGCTTCCAGCTATCGGGTGGACTTCGGCAGCATATCATTGACTGGGCCGTTGCAGGGACAATCTCGGACATGCGTCAGTGGTCACTCTTGCGTAGTCAGTTCCATTCTTGGATACGGCCTTTCGAACGAGACTAGTTTCCTTGTGATGGACACTTGCGGTCAGTCTGGTGCTGTCCAGGGCGCATTTAGCAGTCCCGGAGTTTTGTCGTCTGGAGCAGCCGTGCAATGGTCGGCTGAGCCAGTAGCAGGTGGATTGTACCGTCTGTGCTGGTGTGGAGCTGCCATGAACTCGGCGAATGCCACACAAGGTCGATGTGATTCTAGCTGGAGCTTCAAAGTTGATTTCGGCGATTTGATCGTGCGAGGCCCGTCGCCGTTGTCGCAGACCTTTACATGCATTGCAGGACAGCCGTGTCGCTTCGACGGAGTCAGGGGTCAGGATATGTCCTTTGACGACCAGTACTTGGTGCTGGACACTTGCAGTCGCAACAGGCTGGCCACGGATGTCCTCGATGTTCGTATTGCATTTTCTGAGCAGCCTTTCAATTCGTCACTCCAAAGTGAAGGGGTGGTGTTAGTTCCTGGGGGTCAGTACAGATTATGTTGGTGTGGACGGGCCGGCACTCAGAACCTGTCGCACCATCTCTCTTGCAATCTTCCGACCGACTACCTTGTGGACTTTGCAAGTATTTCCGTGATTGGACCCTCTTCCTTTGATCAGGACAAAACTTGCATTGCTGGAATGAGCTGCGCAGTTCGAAACATAGAGGGCTACTATACTTCCAGCGGTGATGCACTGATGGTGGCCGCCACATGTGGCCAGAGTGATGCATTGATCAGTGGACTTTCCAGGTCTGGACTCATGCTGCCAGATGCGCAGGTCAATTCGACTTTCCGTTGGCTCTTGACATCTACATCTGCACAAGGGGGTCAATATCGTCTGTGCTGGTGTGCTGATGGCCAGGTGTGTTCAACCATGGAGCACTTCAGAGTTGATGTGGGCGCTTTTTCTCTTCTGGGGCCTGTGCCGAGCCAGCAAGCATTCACATGCATGGCTGGTCTTGGGTGTGACATCGACCCCATTACGGGCTTTCACTTGAACGAGAACAGGCTGGTCGTGTTGGAGACCTGTGGCTCGGAGAGAGGTGTTCTACGCATCCCCAACAGTGGCTTGTCCGTGTCTTCTGGTGGTGCAGCCACCTGGGGCCCTTTGCCTCTCACTGCTGCAGGGGGGCAGTACCGCCTTTGCTGGTGCGCAGACCTCGTCATGAAGCCGCTCAATGAGTCACACAACACCTCAAGGGGCTGCCGCATCTTTTCAGATTATACATACGACATCGGCAGCCTCAGCATTCTTGGGCCAGCGCCACTTTTGCAGAGCCGGACATGTGTTAGCGGCCAACACTGTCAGCTTGATGGCTTCACTGGGCACGGTCTCAGCAACCTGGACAAACTTCTGGTTTTGGACACTTGCGGTGAACCCACCGCCGTGGTGCCAAAATGGAGCTTGGCTGGTGGCAGTGTGGAGACAACTAGCAGCGGCACAGCTGCCTCATGGCAAGCCATCGTGAGCGCTGCTGGTGGACAGTACCGCTTGTGCTGGTGTGCGACCGTGCCCATCAATGACACACGCGCAGGCCAGTTTTGCACACATGCTGGAGATTTCGCAGTGGACATGGGTGCCATGTGGCTGCTGGGTCCGACACCGCTGTTGCAAGACCGGACGTGCATCAGCGGGCAGACTTGCTCATCGAGGGGCATGGTCGCTACGACAGGTGGTGGCGTGTTTCTGTCAGGTCGAATCCACGTGCTTGACACATGTGGACAGGTCGGATTCTTGGAAAGGTTTCCAGCAGGTGGACTCAGTGATGAGGCGCAGCCTCTGGAAGGCATTGTGACCTCACCGCTTGCTGGAGACCTGTTGGACGTTCGTGGCATGTCCATTGTAAGCTGGACCTCTGAAGCCTTGACAGTTTCAGCAGGCCAGTATCGTCTGTGCTGGTGTGCCCTCCTTCCGGCTCCAACGAATATCTCGGGCTGCATCTTGACATCCGAATTCAGCGTAGACTTCGGAACCCTTCACTTGTACGGCCCAGTCCTTGGCCATCGTCGCACATGTGTCAGCGGATACACCTGCTCATTCGGCGGCATTGCCGGCTACGGCCTGAGTCAGAACGACACTATCCTGGTGATGGAGACTTGTGGCTCCAATCATGTCACAGCCCGCTTTCCGCAGAGTGGCTTTATTGACCACATCTCCGCTAGTGGGTCTCGTATGAGCTGGGGAGAGACCCCCATATCTGCACATGGTGGTAGCTATCGCCTCTGCTGGTGTAGCCAGAGTGGTTCGTGCAGGAGACCCGAAGCTTTCCCTTTTGACTTTGGTGAACTCCTGCTGGTTGGGCCAGTGCAGGTGGATCAGACATGTGTCGCCGGTCAGACCTGTTATCTTGACGACCTGCCGCGTGCCTGGTCCGAGCTGAACTCTTACATGATTTTGGAGACGTGCGGCATAGCCACTACACCTTTAAGCATTGTCACTGCAAGTCCCGTTCTGTCGGCACAGGGCCAAGCAAACTGGGGCGCAAGCCCTCTAACGTCAGCTGACCTGCAGGCGGGCATCTACCAGCTTTGCTGGTGCGCTCCACTGCCCTCTGTGAATTCTACGCATGTGAATCGCTCCGAGGATAATCTGACAGGCCTGTGTCGCCTGTCTTTGCAGCACCAGGTTACCGTTGGCACGCTGATGATGATCGGTGCCAGCGCAGAGCAGCAAAGAACCTGTGTCAGCGGGTTAACCTGCGTGATTGATAGCATTGAGGGTTACCATCTATCAACGTATGACAAAGTGCTTATCATGGAAACCTGCGGCACTCAAGTACCGACTGGCTTTTCTTGGACAGCACAAGCCAGCAACGCATCGGCGGGAAGGCTAAGCTTTTCATGGGGTGCCGTCCATATCACACCTCAAGGAGGCTCCTACCGCTTGTGCTGGTGTGGTGCCTCTATGGCTTGTAGCCAGGTACGGGAGTTTAGGGCGGACTTTGGGCAATTAAGCGTCCTCGGACCTGCACCCTTCCTTCAGCATCAGACGTGTGTGTCGGGGCACCTCTGCCACCTCTCCTCTGGCATAGAGCATGCGAATAACAGTGACTTCGTTGGACTGCGCTATGCCGTGTTGGCAATGGACACTTGCGGTGGAGTTTCTGTTCCTCGAGGCTTTCCGCTGCATTGGACCAGCAATAGCAGCTCGAATGCAACAGCTGACAGCCTCTTGAGTGCATCGATGCAGGAGCTCGCAACCGCTCCTGGGGGCACATATCGCCTTTGCTGGTGTGGCATACCCGAAACAGCCACAGGCTGCAGATTGCCAGCAGACTTCCGAGTTCATGTGGGAGAGCTGACTATGATTGGTCCTCGGCTTAGCTCCCATACATGCATCAGCGGTCGCCTGTGCAGTCTCGAAGACCTGCAGGGTTTGCACCTCAGTGGCTCCAATATGTACATGGTCTTGGACACATGTGGTGCAGCAGTGTGGGCTTGGCCTGAGGGCTATGCAGGATTGGTCAATCCCGGCATCGCAATCCCGGAAAGAACCGCCACATTGGCTGGGCAATACCAGCTCTGTTGGTGTGCCAACTTGCGCGTGGTGAATGCAAACGCGACTGAACATCCCAATGCGAGCTTCCCATGCCGACGCGCAGAGGACTTCGCGTCTTCCTCGGGCACGCTCACCATCCTCGGTCCTGCCCCCTTGCATCAGCAACGAACATGCATAAGCGGACAGACTTGTGTCCTCGATGGCCTGACTGGTTTAGGCCTATCAAGTTTTGATTTGCTGGCTGTCCAAGATACGTGTGGTCTTGCATCAGCTCCTTCAAGATTTCCTGCAGCAGCCGCGCTTCAAGTACTTCCAGGCTTCACTGCGCGAGTTGCTTGGGAGGATGCAAGGGTCTCGTCTGCTGGAGGTAAGTATCGGCTTTGCTGGACTCGACTCGATGCGAACTCCAGCAACTCCTCCATGCCGGCAGTCTCCTTCAAAGTTGACATTGGTGAGTTACTCTTGCTCGGCCCGTCTCCTTTGGAGCAGTCCGCCACTTGTGTAAGCGGTCAGAGTTGTGTTCTTGATGTACTCAGTGGGTATGGCTTGGATTCGGGCGGGCATCTTATGCTTGCTGACACGTGCGGAGTTCAGGGGGAAGACAGCCTAAGACTCCCAAGTGATGGGCTGACATATTGGGATGCGAACGAAACTACAGTCTCCTGGTCCCAAGCTTTTACAGCTGCTGGGCAGTCCTACAAGCTTTGTTGGTGCGCCGCGGGACTTTCTTGCACTTCGGTCGGTCACTTCATCGACGTAGGTGTCCTGAGCCTCATTGGACCTGCGCCTCTCAGCCAGGGCAGGACCTGCATTTCTGGGAGCTCCTGCAGCTTCGCGTTGGACTTGGAGCCCTTAGGAAGAGGTCAAAACACCTCCGGCCAGAGCCAGGTGCTCATTTCGGCCAGCTGCGGTGTAGCTGCATTAGTGGCAGATCTGCTGCCCACGCAGTTCTTGGGGCCGTTGGGCTCAGCATCCTGGCCCTCGCTTGTCCTTCCAGGTGGTGAGTATCGCCTGTGCTGGTGTGCGGCGGACCCTTGTGAGATCTCCGAGTTCTTCCGGGTGGATCTGGGCAGGTTCCTCGTGCTCGGTCCGAGTCAGCATCATCAAGCGACTTGCTTGGCTGGGCAGACGTGTCAGATGTACATCCCGGTAGCAGGTGGCTCGGACTTTGACCGCTTGCTGCTAGCGGAAACTTGTGGAGCGATCCGAAGCAAGAGAAGGCAGCCCTTTGCTATGATACCAGAGGTTCACAGATCCGCGCCAGACGTCCTCTCCGTCAGCTGGGGCACAGCAGCCCTTGTGCAGTCAGGTGGTGAGTACCGACTTTGCTGGTGTGGGCACTCATGTAGCGATACATCCAGTTTCGTCTCCACAGCGGGCAGCTTGTACTTGCGAGGCCCTGCACCTTTGCAGCAGCAGTTCACATGCCTCGCCGGTCAAAGCTGCTCCTTGGAGACCTTGTCCGGCTATGGCATGTCTAATGCTGGAGTCTTGCTTCTCATGGACACTTGTGGAATCGCCTCCACGACGTTGCAGTTTGCACCAGGCGAGCCCGAGGGACTTATCAGCGACTATGTTCCTCTCGCAGGTGGAAGCTATCGGCTCTGTTGGTGTGCGCTTCTTGCGAGCACTAATACCTCCGGTTGTGACTTGCCTTCGTCTTTCTTAACTGATGCTGGCACAGTGCACATAATCGGCCCAGCGCCATTGCAGCAACAGTACACTTGCGTCAGTGGCCAGACCTGCGCACTGCGGGGGCTTCAGGGCTCCTCCCTGCAGCAAAGTGATTCCGTCGCAGTTTTGGACACATGTGGAAGCCTTGAAGCGTGGCCTAGGAATCTGGTTAGGGTGTTGAACTTGCAGCCTGATGCCTTGACCGTCAGCTTTCGAGACGCCCTCTCCACACCGGGGGGGCAGTACAGACTCTGCTGGTGTGCCACCGGTGCCCGGTGCCAAGATGCAAGCTCTTTGCGAGTGGATTTCGGAAGTCTCACATTGATCGGACCCGAGCAACTGTTCATGGACCGCACATGCATCAGTGGCCGAACATGCTCGTTCGACGGGCTAATCAGTGGCTCGGCTCTGCTTGTTCTGGATACCTGCGGCTTGCCATCGGTGGGGAAGAGATGGGATGGAACCCCAACCAGAATGCCACATTTCATGAGCCAGCTGGAGCACATGGAAATCGAAGGCGAGCGAGTGGCTTGGGGCAACCTGCAGTTCAGCGCGGCTGGCGGAGCATTTCGTCTGTGTTGGTGCGCAGGCAACAGCACATGCCTCGTACCCGAGGACTTTCAGCTGGACATCGGCCAGCTGTTGTTGATTGGTCCAAGCTTTGGACACTCGCAGTCCTGTATTTCGGGACAGGTTTGTTCCATATCTCGTGTCAAGGGGTGGCAATTGTCCGAGTCCGACAGGATCATGGTTCTGGACACATGCGCACAACCTGGAAACGCGACACAGATTCCTTCGCCTATTGTAGGCTTCGCCGCCGATGGTATGAGTTGGTCTGCCGTCCAAGAACTCAACTTGACGGATGAAATGCGTGGCTCCACTTACGGTCCACTAATGCGGTTTGAACTGGCTGGATACATCAGTGCACCGGGTGCAAGGTATCGGCTCTGCTGGTGTGGAGCACAGGCGGCCTGCTCTTCATCCGAGGACTTCTACGTGGACTTCGGTGAGCTCCAACTCCTGGGACCTTCGCTTGGACAAAGCCAGACTTGCGTGAGTGGACAAACGTGCTTCCTAAATAATCTCGCTGGTCACCATGTGCAAGACGGTCAAGTTGCAATTTTCGACACGTGCGGCGTCCACGGTGTGGGATTGGATGGTGCCGACCTGAGCAAGTCAGTCGTAAGTCGTAAGTCTTAGATGCGAAGCCTCGTGGCATCTTCCCCCTGTAGTGGAGACTGATGGCCAAGGTGTGCACATCTCGCGATCTCTTGCTTCCGCACCAGCACGTGGTTCCGGCATCTTGCTGTCAACATTGACTGCCAGCGGAGGTGCCCTTCCAGTGAACTGACTGTCATGCACGCAGCGTATGGACGGGAGCGCACTGCTCCGCCCCTTTGTGTCGGCAGGCAGCTACTGGCTGTGTTGGTGCGCAGGCTCGGAGGGCTCATGCTCGTGCTTGGTGTGCCTTTGGTTTTCTGAAGTTTGTGCCGTTTGTCACGGGAAAAGCAATGGAGCGAGGGGACCTCTGCTCCAGCGCAGATGAGTTCATTGGCCCGGCCCTCAGGGTCTATTCCTGGTCTTCCGCTGTCTGCGACAGGAAGAACTGTCAATTCCTGGGAGGCATTGGCCGCTTCACATTGCAGGGCCCGGCACCGCTTCAGCAACACCGAACTTGCATCGCGGGCCAAGAATGTGAAGTGGATGCCTTGACAGGCCCTCCGGGCCAGTGATGGCGGTTTCGTTGAAAAGAACTTCCTTCACGAAGTGTATCTGTGACCTCTGCAAGTTGCGACAGGCCTTCACTTGCCAAGTGATGGTATGTATGCCGTGCTGGACACTTGTTTCGCCCTCAGTGTCGAAGAACACCGTCGTTGGATGCTGTTGGATTTTGCGTGTAATATCGTGTAATCAAGGTGGCCGCAACTTGGTGCTCTTCTTGGATCCTGTCAATGCCCTGGCCTCAACAACAAGGGGGGAGCAGCTGAGCAGCCAAAGCAGAGTGAACAACCTCCTGTACCTCGAAGGTTGCGAATGCATCAGATGGCGGAGTAGTTTTTGCTCCAGACGGTGCACGAATGAGCTATACAGCTGCAAAGCTCGTGCACGACCCTTCATGCAAACTGACCTTGAGCAGTCTGCAGCAAAGGCTCTTTTGGGCAGCTGGTCTTTGCTGAGGGGGGGTTGCTTCGCTGCAGCTGGTAAAGTCTGCCACGGTGCAAGGATGACCCAGGCAGCATTTATTCCAGATGTCTTGCAGTCCGAGGCAGTACCGATTGTGTTGGTGTGCCCCATGGGCACGTGCCCCAAGTTTCAACAGCTCCTCGGCAGAGCATTCTTTACAGTCCGTAGCCACACCTCAGATGCCTTGCTCGAGGCAGCAATGCAAGCAGCTGGAGCAATCGGAGCAACGAAAGCCTGGGCACCCAAATGTCACTTGGTCTTGGAGCCTGCGCACTTTCCCACGAGCCTCTCGGACCTGCGGGATTGTGGTGTGTGAGTTTGTGTTGCTGGAATCACTGCTTGGTGAGTAGCCATCTATCGGAGAAAATTGCTGTGGCATCAACTTCGGGTTTCCCTTGGGCATCCCTTCACCAGCAACACCAACGTCTACTTTTGACCCGTAAATCCCTCTATTTGTCTCAGCCCTGTTGGTTGTACAGCGTCCTGGACAGCTTCAGCTAATCCAGTCGCCCCGAATGGCGAGTTGGATAACCAAGCGTTGCGAATGAGCTGTAGCCGTACGAAGGCCTTGAGCCTATATATATATATATATATTATATGCTGCTATGGTGCAGGCCACGGATGCCCTGTGAAAGCCAGGCCCCAGACCTCCTAAACGCCGCGATCGACATAATCAATCTTCAGAACAGCCGGGTTCAGGAAGCCGCAGGAGGCGCTTCGTAAGTTTTTCGCCGACATGTAGAAAAATAGGCTCATTGGTCCAGCTAACTATGGACCCACTTCTGTTAGCTAAAGCTTGCTGCACCCCAAGTTCTGTCAGATTATTGATCTGCAAGAAGCCCGAGAAGCTTTAATTTCAATTGGTCATGCCGTTGATTGTCTAAGTATGTCTAAGTGCGAATCATCTACACAAAGCCAAGTCCTGAACATGCCAGTCATAAAAAGTGGAAGCGGCTCATCAGACTGCACAATGGACCATGCTGTTGGCAGATGCGATCTATTAGGCTGTAATCGATCGTTGGCAACCGCGAGAACTCGAGAATAAAGACCAGGGCTGGGTGCAGAACCGGAGCCGGAAGACAAAGACAGCAACAAGGAAAAGCGCCGTAAGAACTGCTTGCTAGAACGTTCCACTGTCAGTGCGACGAAGTCACCTGCCAAAGTGCAAAGTTGCTGTGCAGGCCGCATATCAGGCAAATTCAGGCAATACGTTAACAACTTGAGATCAGTAAGCACTGCGAAACGTCACACACGGAGCTTTATCGATTCTCTGGTGGATCGCCAAGTAGCAGTCAGCACTGCACTTGCTCTAGAATGATCAAAGCTACTGCCAAGGTCAATCATCAAGCAGGAAAGCCGAGTGTGCACTTGACTTTATCAGGAAACCATACTTTATCGTAGCATTCATGTGGCAGGACGCGACGAACTCGATTGCGGCCTAGTGTGCCCCAATTATAGTGGGTTCTTCCGGTGTAGTGAAGCGCGCTCCTCGTCCATCAGAGGAAGATGCGCCGGGTCGAATCACCGTTCAAGGAAACCTGATTAGACGCCAACGGTTCAGATGCTGCAAGTCGCGCATTCACCGGGCAAACAATCCTGAAATTTCTGAACACCCGGGAACGTTGGGACATCAGATTAAGCGCAGCGTCTTGGACATGTCCGGGCAATTTGCTCCGTGTTCAGTGCTTTAATTGCTGGTGCATCCGGCCATTGGCGTTTGATTTGAGTTTCAGCGAAAGGTTCCGCTTCATTGAGTCATCGTCCCGTCATGCATGCGAATCCAAACCATGTGTCGTGCACCGAGTCAGTAGCGAAAGAGCGCATTGCTAGCATAAAACCGGGATCGATTCGGAGTGGCTGCGACACTAAGGTATCGCGTGGACGTTGGTTCGATGCTGGTTGTGGGTCCAACGCCCCTTCAACAAGACAGGACTTGTATTGCAGGTAGAACTTGCAACGCAGAGCGGATTAATGGGCAGAGCCTCAGTGCCGCCGATAAACTTCAGATTCTCGCGACTTGTGGTGGGACGGTGCCGCTGCGCTTCCCGATGAACGGACTCATT